CTATATATTTATATGATGAAATATATTATATATTTTTATTATATATTATATATTTACATATACATTTGTAAAAGTATATGTATGTATTTGTTCTTGACTGCTTCTACCTCTGCCTTAGCCGCTGGCTGGACATTCAGTGCAGCGCTGCTGCTGGTGAGCTGGTCCTTGTGGTGTCATGGATGCGCAGGTAATTGTGCCCCGTCTTCTTGCAGGACATTATGGGAAGGATGCTTACCGAAGTGGAGGAGCTGATCTCCATAACTTCATCTCATCCGGATTTGTCACATTAGGAAGAGGACACACGAAGGGTACAGTGGAAACCATTTTTTACTAAAATACAGAGGTGGCCTAGGGACCCCCGATCTGAAACGCGAAGATGGTGTGGAGGCCAGAGGCCTGTCGGGACAGGAGTGTGTGGGGTGGTTCCACTGCAGCTTGTTCTGGTGACAGGCGTGGCTCTGACAGGAGTGACTGTAGAGGGCAATGATAGACTTGCAAGAGACATCCACCCCGCTCCACCGTGGTGTGGAGCAGGACACAGAGGCCGATGGCTCCCGGTGGGGGCCCGCAGGCGGTGCAGTGGGAAACACTGCCATGGATGTGGCAGCATTTGCAAAGCATTCGTTGTCTTCTTGGCTATTATTCCTCTTTTTTTTCAAAGCCACATTTTATAACCTGTTGTCCATGCTCTGTACCGTGGGTTTTGAAGCCAGCATGCATGTCGAGTCGCCACGTCCTCAGTGTGTCTCTGTAAACTCTCTCTGGCGCGCACACCACGGTGGAGGTTCCAGACCTTCAAGCCGCAAGATGACAGCTAATGTAGCCTTTCTGCCAAGCTGCTTTAGGACCTCGCTGGCAGCTTGCAGAGCATCTGTGCGGGGTCCGGCTCCTCGATTCTGTCTTTCGTTTAAGCCGAGTCCTGCTAGTGTTGTGAGCATTCTGTCACTTCAAGAGTACCTTCCCCACACCTGTGCACTGTTACAGATCCACTGTGAGCTTGCCGTAGGGATGGCGCATCCCTGCCTCCCTCTGAAATATGTGTCTGTGTTCAGTGTGAGTGAACCAGGACTTTGCAATATTTTCTTACGTTCCATGCACCGACTTTTTAAATTCCCTCTGTGATGTCTGTTCCTCCTGTAGAGAAAATAATCTGTATCTGTGTATGTATTTTCTGTTGTGTCTATTTGTGTCTAAATAAAGTTTATTGAGGATACGGGTGGCATTCGTGGCTAATAAGAGTTGCAGAATCAAATTGGGACCAGCTGGCTCTGGAAGCGGAAAGGGGCTGCACAGTTAACCAGTGCGAGACACAATCCTGGTCGTCCCATATCAACTCAAACCTGGGCTGGCCCACCCCCATGCCATCTCTTTGTGATCATTATCTGCCACTGTGACACAAATCACTCCAACAGGTAGCATTTTAAAAGCATAACAAACATTTGTTAGCGCACATAGTTCCTGCGGTTCAGGGATTTGGGAGCAGCTGAGCCGGGTGCTCCTGCCTTGGGGTCTCATGAGGTTGCAGTCGGGGTTTCTGAACTGCAGTGGTTTCCCACCCTTCCCCCTACTCCTTGTAGGCGGTCCGCCCTGAAACACCAATCAATCAATAGAACTCATGTTATATATACTTACGGCTTTGGGTTCACACATTCGTTCAAATACTTCATGAGGCTTGCATGGGCTAAGCAGTCTTCAGAAGTAAACCAAATAGAATCTGTTCTTATGGAGCTTATCATCCATTGGGGGAAGCAGGCAAAATTAGTTCCTGGTGACAAGTGCAGGGAGGCAGGGAGTTGTGAGGCGGGAAGCCACAGTGGGCAGAGAAGGCCTCTCGGATGAGGTAGTGACGAGCAGAGAGCGGCATCCCAGGCGGAGGCGACAGGGAGGCCCTGAGGAAGAAGCTTTCTCATGGTGTCAGGAAGTAGGAGGGAGGCCAGTGTGAGCAGCAAGGGTCCAAGAGGCTGAGAGGAGGAGATGGGACCAGAGCCACAGGGGAGCGGATCATGCATTTCTCAGGACATAAGCCTGCTTTCAAATTAACTGGACCTCCGTCAGAGCAACATAAAGGTCATACTCTATGGCTACCTGTCCGTTAGGTCACTGTCACCTAGGACATCCAGGGGGATTACCCTGCCCGTGTCTGGAGGCTTTGCTTTGGCTACTATCATTATCTACCCATCTTACCTTGGCCTTACCCTGCCCACCTGTGCATGCATGGCCTGAACTCCCCGTGTCCATTGCTTGTCCATGACCTCTACCAGGTCTTCTCCATTCTCTGCCACCCTAAGTCCTCTGAAACCGCCTCTTTCCAGGAATGTACCTTTCATGTATTTTCCTACTTAGATAGTAACCAAAGTTTCATGAGCAAAGAGATGTGGGGCGGGGCGGGAGGCTGTCCAAGGGGCAGAGGGGGCTGCTTTGGAAATGAGGATTCTCTTCTAATGTCAGGGCCTCCTTAGTCCCCATGCAACCTAGAGCTCTGGAAAAGGCCCAAGCTCCATTTTCCCTTCATTCACAGCCAACCAAGTTCAACTCTGAGCAGCACCTGGAAGCACACCCACCCCATGTAAATACCCCTGGGGAGGGACCACTCAGAGACCTGGAACCCGGCACCTGTCTCCATCGTGGGAGTTTAATTCTCTTCCATTCCATTTCTTCCTTTTCTTATTCTTTTCTCTCAATTCCAGTTGCTGGCTTTTTTCTGGTCCCTCTTCCTTTATTCCTTTTTTCCCCCCTTTTTTCCTACATTTGCCAAGGCCTTCTGGTGACACATGACCATTGTGTAGACCCCTTATAACTCTCAGAACTAATGGGGTAGCCAACACATGCTTTTGAAGTTAATACCATTGCCCCACCAACCCACCTCACGGAATTTAACGTGCATTTCGAATGGGACTGATTTCCTGAGAACCAAGCCTGGGTGCTCCCTGCTCTAAATGGCATTGGTGGCCTTCATTGGGAGCTGGAATATTCCATCACACGGGCCCCAGAGGCATTACGGAGACAGGCGTGCGCTCCAGCTTCAGTGCGGACTCCTCCAACCTCAGAGAACTGGGGTCATCCCCATGTTCCAGGTGAAAAACTGAAACCCAAGTGGGTGAGTTCACTGGCCAGGCCAGCATCCAACAGTTAGCTCTGTTCCCTTCCAAATTCCGGAGCCTGTGTCCCAGCCCCGGGGATTGTGCCTCCTGACAGTGGGAGGAGCCGAGGCGGAGCCTGGGCTGTGGCTCAGTGGGAACCACACTTTGGGGAGCGCAGTGACCAATGGCTGTCTTCATCAGAGGTACATTTTACAAGATAGGACGTGATGAAAGGAGGCGGACCAAGAAGTAGAGCACCAGCACCCTATCTGCGGGGCCTCTCCTTTCAGAAAGGAGGCACATGCCCCTCTAATAGTTTTTCAGGGTCTGTCTACACTGCAGAGGCCCTAGTCTACTTAGGCAGTGTGGTTAAAATCTTTCAGGCAGGTGGTGTTTTTCCTTGAGTCTGGTAGAAAGAGCCAGAAATCTCTTTCCAGAAGCCCCTCAACATCAACAGTGCTAACCCCAGTGACCCCCCTAGTGAGTCCCAGGCCTGGGCCATGGCAGCAAGCACGCACATGCTCACTGCAGCTGTCCTCTGCATGCAGCTTGCAGTGGCTGTGACGTGCTGGGTTCCGTACGTGCTGGGTTCTGCTCGCCTTCTGGCATTTTTCCCTGTTCACTGGGTCCTTTCCACCATCCCAGGGGCCAGGGAGAGGGGTGTGTCTATGTATGAGAAAGAGGGGGAGAAGGGATGTGTCTACGTATGAGAGAGAGGGGAAAAGGGATCCCAAAGCCTTTGCTAAAAGGCAGGAGCTCCAAAGTGGTTGCCCCTTTGTAGAAGGCACACGCCGTGGCCCATGTAGGCATTCGTTTCCCGTGAGCATCTGCTCTGTGCCAGCCACTGTTCCAGGCGCTGAGGACATAGCAGACAGTAAGAGGTCATAGAAGTCAAGCAAGAAGTATGTTGGGATGGAGTTGAGAACTGTGGAGCAAAATGAGGCAGGGAAAGGGAGGGAGGGTTTGCAGTTTTTAAAAGAGCATCCAGAAGACTTTAGGGAAAGGTGACATTTGAGCAAAGTCAAAGGCGGTGAAGGATGGAGTCAGCTGGATTTCTGGGAAGGGTCTCCCAGGCCGAGGGAGCAGGGATGCAGTGCCCACCTGGCTTGCATGGGGACAGCTGCGAGACTGGAGCAGCGGAGCTGAGAGAGCAGTAGGCTGAGGTCAGAGTGTGGCCTCTGGGGCCATTTAAGGATCTGGTTTCCACTCTGGGCCACAGGACACACAAAATGTTTTTCGCCTGAGGCATTAGACAGATGGAAGACTGTGGGAGGGATGGGGTTTAGGCAGAAGTTGAGGACGAGGTCAATTCACTCTGGCTTCATATTAAGTTTTAGATGCTTATTAATAATCCACATGGAAACGTCAAGTTCAGGGAGATGTCCTAGCTGGAATATAAATGTGGGAGTATACGGGGCATGAAGCCAGGAGACTGGGCGACATTAGCGAGGGAGGGAGTGTCACTTTCTGGGTAAGCAAAGGCTCCAGAAGGGAGCCCCTGGCACCTTAACATGGAGAAGTCGGGGCGATGAGGAGGGACCTACAGACAGGACTGCGGGTGAGAGAAGCGTGGCAGCGTGGAGTCTTGGAAATCAAGTGAAAAATAAACAAGTGTTTCCAAGGGAGAGAGTGAGCAATTGTACGCCATAGAGAGGCTCGGTGAGATGAGCCAGCAGTGACCTCTGGGTGTAACCTGGAGGTCATTGGTGACTATGGCAAGAGCTGTTGTGGGTGGGAGTGCAGCAGTCTGCCCCGGTGAGGCAGGAGAGAATGGGGGATGTCTGGGGTGCGCTTCTACATGGTCTGGGCAAACTGAGTAGTGGGGAGAGGTGCTCGCTGTGCCAGCCTCTCTATTGGGGGGTATTTTGAAATGTTCATAATAAAATATAAAAAATGAGAGAGTGGAAGAAGAGGGATAGGGGACTGCAGGTACAGGCTTTAGAGTTTTAATGTAAAGGAGAGTAGAGAATGAAGGCAGTGGCTGGAAGGGAGTGTAATGGAAAAGGAGATGTGTTTGTTTGTTGTTAAGATGGGAGAAATCACAGTATATCTGTATGTGCAGGGATGACCCAGGAAAGAAGGGAAAAGTGATCAGGCCCTTTCTCCAGCCCCATGGCGAGTCCCAAGCCCGTGCACCCCCGGGCATATGCTCATCTCTCCCACGGCCATTTGTCTGGGCACTGCCATGGCTGTGTGTGGTACAGGGTTCGAAATCAGGTTTTCTCCTC